TTGCAATACCCAGTCAAGATTCGCGATGTATTCTTCGTTCCAACGACTTTTGGCACTTAGCCGCTCTTTTTTGGAGGCAATTTCATGTTAGCCACACCTAATAGGAGCTTGTTTTGAGTTACCCATCCCCTTCGATATTGATTCGACATTGACCCACTCCTATTTGGATCCAAATTGGCGTTACCTACTCCCTTTGGCATTGACCCACTTCTAAGCCTAAGTGTTTTTAGCGTGAGTTAATAGGTAACGTCTCACCTACCTTTAGTTTCGGTTCAATTTAAGTGGTTTTAGTTATTTTCTAACCTAGAGTTTGTTTGCTTTGATTTAGGAACCCTTTGGCGAGTTTAGTAGTGGGTTAGGAGATTGCATGTTTTAAATTGTGTGCTTTTAACTCTTTATGCTTGTTGAATATGTTTATGGATTATACCGTCAATTATACTCTTGCATTGCTGTGTTCATAAAAACATACTGAGTTTTGTGAGATTTGCTATATTGTTAAAGCATATCCATATATTGTTTCGTGATTAATATATTGTCTGGCCCTCTTTCTTATTTCTAAATTTAAATGACAAACAAAAACGAATTGTTTTATTCTGTTCCATTATATATGTTATGTTACACAACCTATTTTTCTTGATCGGTGGATTAAGATCAATTATTTCTTTTCATTGGAAAAGTTGGTCACCACATGGTTTCGTAGTGTTGTTATCCATAAGTTTATGATAAAGTCAATGAAACTTTTTATCAAATTCCAACAGGATTGAACTTTAAAAGTGCTTCAAACTTCATCGAGAATTAGTTTTAAAAGTATAATTGGAATATGGATAGAGATTGGATTAAGCTAAGAGATAGGTTTTCAAGAGAGTATGTAGAAGGAGTTTCACAATTTATTAAAGTTGTCAAATTTCATGTTAACGAGCTGGGAAAAACGAGATGTCAGTGCAAAAAAAGTCAAATTGTATAATGGCAACTACTGGATGCAGTGGAACAACACATATCCGTTAATGGGATATCTCCTACTTATAGTCAATGGATACATCACGGAGACCCTTTGAACATAGATCGATATGCAAGTGACACACCGCCGTCCCATGATGACTTAAGTAGAGAGTGTAATGTTACCAAAGAAGAAAATGAGGTGTTCGACATGCTAAACGAACTGAGAGGTCCAATGGTAGAAGAGGATGAAGACAAAGACTTTGCATATAAGATGCCAACACAGGGTTTTGAAAGGGACAATTCGAATGAGTTTGAGGACTTGATGAACGAAGCAAGTCAAGAATTGCACCCTGGTTGTACACAAGTTACCTCGTTGGAATTTTTGATCAAGTTGATGCATATCAAAGTGCTTAATAAGTGAAGTAATAAATCATTAGATATGTTACTCCAATTATTGAAGGTAGCATTTCCAACTAGGACGAACATACCTAGTTCATTCTATGAAGCAAAGAGAAAACTGTGCGGATTAGGATTATGATATGAATCCATCCACGCTTGCAAGTACGATTGTGTACTGTTTTGGAAAGAATTTGTCAACTTGGAAACATGTCCAGTATGTGGTGAGTCTCGTTACAAAAGCTGCTCTAGTAGTAACAGTAAAAAGATCCCCCATAAGATCTTACGTCACTTTCCAACGATACCGAGGTTGAAGCAGTTCTACGCATCAAAACATATCACAGCTAAAATGAGGTGGCATAAGGAAAAGCGAGTTGAAACAGAGGGTGTTCTACGACATCCAACTGATGCCACCAGGTGGAAGCATTTGGATCGTGAATACCCTCAATTTACATTAGATCCACGAAACGTCAGATTGGCATTTGCTTCAGATGGATTCAATCCATCCAGTAGCATGAACCATTCATATAGTATGTGGCTGGTTATACTTATTCCATATAATTTGTCACCTTGGAAGTGTATATAAGAATCTAATTTTTTTCATGTCTTTGCTTATACCCAGACCGAAGTCTCCTGGAAAAGAGATTGACGTATACTTACAACCATTAATTACAGATCTGAATAAGTTGTGGACTAGTGGTGTACGCACTTATGATAGTTTCAATGGGGAATATTTTAAAATGCATGTAGTATTGTTATAGACCATCAATGACTTTCCTGCATATGGCAATTTATCTGGATGAAGTACCAAAGGTTATCAAATGTGCCCTATTTGTAAAGAAGAGACATCGTCGTTCAGAATACGTGGTAAAATATCCTTAATCGGGCATCGTCGTTATCCTCTAGAAATGCACAATTGGCGTAAGAGTAAACACCATGATGGGAAGGTTGAACGTAGGCCTCCTCCGACTTTAATGGATGGAGATGATATTCTTCACGAGGTAACCTATTTGAACTTTCCACCATTTGGGAAGCACCAATCAAATCTTTAAAAAAACGAAAGCAAGAACTCAATTGGACGAAAAAGAGAATATTTTTTTATCTTCCATACTGGTTAAAGCTGTTGATAAGGCATAAACTAGATGTGATGCACATTGAAAAAAATGTGTATGACAGTTTAGTCGGCACTTTGTTAAGCATTGATGGTAAATCTAAAGATACCTCAAACACCCGTTTGGATCTACAAGATTTAAAAATCCGCAAAGAGTTACACTTACAGAAACATGGGGATATGTTTTTGAAACCTCAAGCTGCGTATACTCTTACACGAAGAGATCAGATAGAATTTTGTAAGTTTTTTAAGTCGGTAAAATTTTCTGATGGATTTGTGTCGAATTTATCTCGATGTGTCAATGTTGTAGAAGGAAAAATATGGGGTTTGAAAACTCATGATTGTCATGTTTTACTACAACAAATCATTCCTATCGGTATTCGAGCAAATGTACCGAAAGAAATGAGTATATCTATTGTTGAACTATGTAAATTCTTTCGTGACTTGTGCGCAATGACAATATGCATCAATGATTTAGAGCGTTCGGAAGCTGAAGTTGTACTCATTCTTTGTAAATTGGAGAAAATATTCCCACTAGCTTTTTTTGATGTAATGGTACATTTTGCTGTTCATTTTCCTTACGAAGCGAAGGTAGTGGGTCTCGTTAGTTACAGTTGGATGTTTCCAATTGAGAGAACTTTGTGGACTTCGAAACAATACGTTAAAAACAAAGCTCGTCCAGAGGGTTCAATAGCAGAAGCCTTCATAATGAATGAAGCGCTCATTTTCTGCTCAATGTATTTAACGGGAATTGAAACTAGACATAATAAGGATGAACATAATGATGATAGAAACACTGGGAATAAAAATTATGGGGAGTTTGAAATATTTAGTCAAAGCGCACGACCACTGGGGTCCCCAACCTTACGGAGACTATCAAAGGATGAGAAAAGAACAGTACACTGGTATGTAATGAACAATTGTTTAGAGATAGGGGATTATCGCAGGTATGTTTTTCCCCAATTATTATATATCATGATCTCTACTCTTTAGCAATGGGACTGGCTTCCAACATGCACAATTATAGTAGATGCATTGTGAATCGAATACGTTTTCACAATATTGAGCGCGACAAACATCGGGTTACACAGAACAGTGGTGTAAAGGTACCAGGAGAAATTGAAGGAGATGACAATAATTTTTATGGCGTCTTGACAGAGGTTTTAGATTTAGATTACTCTGTTAGAAGACATGTCATAACTTTTAAGTGTAAGTGGTTCAACATGGACTAAAAAAAAATACAGTAGTTGATTTAGGCTTTACGTCAATAAACACATCTCGCAATTGGTATGTGGACGACCATTCTTGCTAGTCAGGCTCAACAAGTTTTTTATTGGAAAGTGGTACAGACAGTTCAAACTAAACGCTTGTGGGACGTCCCAAAAGTAGATGACACCGAGAATGACGAAGTACAGTCTTTGGAAGTAGAAGGTAGTACTGGAGTTGATGAAGCTATCACAAATCAGTCATATTATAGAGATGATGTTAATCCTATGCTTGTGGACCGACAAGTTATTCAAGAACAAGCAAATATAAGTACACCATCAATCACGGATGATGAGTTTATAAACGACGAGGACGTTGAAATATCTAACGCTAGCAGTTCAAGTCCTGTTAAAACTTTTGTACTGGATGAGTTAGAAAGTGATTGAGTATGTAAGTTAGTTGGTTGTTAGTTTTGTAATGCGTATAATATATTTTGTTACTTAACCTAACTTTGTATCTTGATGATGTTTTGAGTCATGTGTTGTCGTAGGTATGGCGGGAACTAGTCAACAATTGGCCGATGATATATTTGAGGATGCACAACGGGATGAAGAGTTTGGAGATGGACTTGAAAAAGACGCCTCCCGTTAGTATTTCACAACTATTTTGTGTGTGTTCATTAATACTTCATAAATATTGACTTAACCAAATTATTTTCTGTAGGTAGCACCAGTCGATCGGGTGTACAGATACATACTCGATGTGTTGACTTAGACAAGGAGGTGGCAAAAAAGGCGAGAATTGAAATTGTAATTGACAAGACCCACAATAAGTCGGTATGTGCAAATGCTACACGGTTCTCGAATACTATTGGCTCTGTCGTTAGAGAAAATATTAGTGTTGGAACTTTCTCTACCTTCAAAAAGATTAGAGACTCGTGGAAGCGCACACAGTCACAAATAATACTTGGGAGTAGTCCAAAGTGAATCCTCAAGGACTTGATGCTTTTTTGAATCGAGTAATGCCGTGAAATTGTTCAAATATGCAATTGCGATTTAGGATGAAATATATGATGAAATGTTGTTGTTTGGGGTTTTAACTATCAAACAATTTAATACAACTCAACCTCTTTACTTATTACCTTAGTTTTGATGCAAAACATGGAACACACTTTGTTGGGAAAACGCACCAGCGCAAATCCTGCCTTTTCATGAGAAATTGAGTTCTACTCTTTCACTATCGCTTTTGGTTGTTGCAGAGGTTAGAGTAACCTACAACCATATATCTATTACAATCCTAGGAAATATTTATCAACACATATCCATTATGGGTCAGAGGGTCTATGTCTTGGACCATGTTTTATGCGGCTTTGTCTAAGTTACATCTCATATTGGTTTCCTATTATTTAACTCATCCTTCTTCATTACGCTTGTTTACATGCGTAAAAAGAAGGTTTTAGATGCTGTTTTTACTATGTTTTAACTTTGTATCGGACTTTTTCTCGGTCGTTTGAGTTCTAATTCATGCAAATTCATATATGATGGTTTGTGGTTGGCTTATATTGTATTTATGACATTTTAGGACCATTTGGAGTGCAAATTAATCAAAAGAAGCAAAAAGTCGAAAAAACCTACATGGGAGGCGCCAGGCGCCTGGGAAGGCTGCAGAAAACAGTTTTTCTTCCAACTTTGCCCTTAATGAAACGCGTCTTCCAATGCG